GTTGTGTTACACTACCTACTAGTGTATGAGCGAAAAACACAAGTTTGAGGAGCTCTAATCACCAAGATTGCATCCCGAATCACCCATGAGTGTTGCGCTACACTACGTACTAGTGTATGAGTGAAAAACACAAGTTTGAGGAGCTCTAATCACCAAGATTGCACCCCGAATCATCGTTGAGTGTTGCGCTACACTACCTACTAGTGTATGAGTGAAAATCACAAGTGTGAATAACCCAAAATACAAGCAATCAACATGAGATCACTCCTAGAAGAATCAGAGCACTCCCTACTAGTGTGTGGATGAAAACAAGAGTTTGATTATCCCAAAGAAGAAGAAGATGAAGAACAAAGAGAAGAAGGAGAAGCGGAAGAGGGAAAAGACTAATGAAGGAGAGGAGAAGGAGATGACGAAGAAGAAGAAGAAGAAGAAGAAGAAGAAGAAGAAGAGGGAGAAGAAGAAGAAGAAGAAGGAGGAGAAGAAGGTGAAGAAGAAGATGAGGAAGGAGACGAAGAGGAAGATGGAGAAAGAGAAGAGGGTGAAGAGGAAGATGGGGAAGGGGATAGGGAAGAAGATACATCTTCTATCTTCTTGCCCCCACTCACCTTACCAATATCTTGGGGATGGAGTCTCGATTTCAATGAGGCTTCCTCTCCTCCTTGCACAACTCCTCCTTGGTTATGGCTACCTCCTCCTTCAAACCTTCGCTTCCCCCTCTCCTTCCTCTTCCAAGTTCCCACGGGCTCCTATCACTAAGACTAGGGAATCCTCCTCGCTAGGAGGGCTAATGGGACTCCTCTCAGTCTTGCTTTCCTCTCAACTACCCTGGGAGCTATGGCGGACTACCTCCCCCACTACCACTAGCTCGTAGAGCCTCCTCCCACTAGCTCACAACCTCCTCCAAGCTTCCGGACTGGCAGGGGTTCCCCTCACTACTCTCCAATTGCCTCTAGAGCTCTCATGGGCTCATTTGGGCAGCATGGGCACTCCTCATGCAAGTGTGAGTGTGGCGGACTGGATCCTCAGCTTATATAGGTTGGGAACAGCAGTCCGGCCAGCCCTTGTGCCCTCCCAAGTGCCTCAAGGTGAACCGAGGTACCCCCAAGGCCAATTTTCACCTATAGGCCTCTCTGGGGGCACCCAGGTCTCTTTTTGGCCAAGTACTTGTAGTCCGAGTGGTTGGTACCAACTCGGATTGCCTCTTGGCCTACCCTGGCCTCTTTTCCACCTCACGAATGCTGCTCTTTTCGGTCCTAATGCCCAAGGGGCAATTCTACTTGAAAGAAAAAGGTCTAGTGGACCTTTTTCTCCATTTTTTCAGGTTTTGGCCTCCCTTGGGTAGGCCGGACCATTTTTCTAAGTGGTGGCCTACTTTCAGCCTTGGATCTGGCTGAGATCCAAGACCAGCAATAATCCGTGTTATCCCTTAGTAGCCCTTGCTTCAATTTTGAGCCCCTAAGTCCAATTGTTTTCAATTTTTGATGCATCTGGCTCTCTTTTTGGGCCAGATGCACTATTTCGTCATTTTCCCTCTTTTGTTTTTTTCCATTTTAGGCTGCCACCTCATTCCGGATCTAGCCGTTTTTTGCTGGCCCACAAAAAACGGTTGTTTTCTCTCTACCATGAGATCTGATTTCAGATCCATGGTCCAAAAGAAAAACGGATTTTTGCCTTTTGCATTTTTTTTCATTTTTGCCCTTTTAAATTCAGATTTGGTTGAGATATGGCCCCAAGGGCCATATCTCAGCAATCCGACCTGCACTCCTTGAATCTAGGAGGAGTGAGGTCATCATTGGGATCTGGCAGTCCCTATTGCAGCCATCCCAATGGGCCGGCACACCCTCCTCCACCCATTCCTCCTATTTTGTTTCATTCTCCCTAATTTTTCTCTTCTTTTTCTTTTTTTTTTCGTTTATTTTTGTTGTGACATGCGTTAACTTGCTGTGCACTCTCTTTCTAGGCCTTAGAACCTTGATTGTGGCCAGGTTCATGGCCGGCTGTTGGCCGTTATACCCCGGCCCACCAAGTTGGCATGCCCATGTCTCTAGGGGGCTCATTTCCTTCCCGTTTGCCTCCATTTTGAGCCCCCTTGGCTCCGATTTGTTTTTTGGCTAGCCCGTTCTTCGCTTGGGCCCCCTTAGGCTCTTATTTTCTTCTCCCTAGCTAGTCCGAAATACCCCGGACTGCTAGGCAACCCTCCCCTTATTTTTTTTGCTCCTCACTCCCGCTTTCACCCGTTTGGGCCCTACTAGTGTTGACACTAGTGATGCTAATATTTTCCACCATCGAAATCCTTGATCTCGACGACGCTGTTTATTTCCCATGGCCATTCCCCACCTTATCTCCCCATCGGGACACCTCAAGTTCCCGCCGCTTCCCATACTAGTCTCATTTTTCCGCTCCGCCCGCGGTGCCATCGACAGGGCTCATTTACCGACAATTTTTGTTTGGCCTCCGGCGTCATCCCGGTTGACGTCCAATTTTTCTTTGGGACTTCCCATGTCCTCGACAGTCCTGTTTTATTATTTTTTTCATGTGTCCCTTGTTCCGTCAATGCTTTCCCGTTTGCGGGGCCCCCGCCGTATCATCGTCGTCTTACCGTCATACTCCCCTAGTGTCGCGACGTCATTTTCTAGTGTTTTTCGGACGTGCCACGACCCATTTGGCCTTGGTCCGGGCATCCTAGCGCAGTCCGCAATTTCTCGGACTGCATTCACACCAATCTTGCCAGCCCCACAGCCCCACAGTATGTCCTAAGCCTTAGGAAAATAAACCGTCAATTTTCCTAAGGTATCCGGGCTCATTTTTGACTCCCGAAGCCCCAAAATCTTGAGTTTGTCCCTCCTTATGCAGTCCGTTGTAGCTCGGAATGCAGTAGGGGTTGTTTTCATTGTCCTAGTACCCCTCAACTAGCCCCCTACCAAAAGAGAATCAGGCGGCCACTTCCCAAGTGCATCCGGCCTCAATTTTGGTTCCCGGAGCACTTAAAACTTGATTTTGGTCTCCCCTATGCAATCCGTTATTTTTCGGTTGCATGGGGCCTTGTTTTCTTTTAACTTTCTCAACATAAATAAAAAAAAAACATGGTACTTTGTAACCGCCACATTGCCCAAGTGAATCTGGTCCAAAATTCTTCCCTTAGGTGGCCGTTTTTATCCGTTAGTGCCCTTGTGACTTTCCTCCTTTTGCTTTTATTTTTCTTTTGTTTTTCTTTTTTCTTTTTTTTTAACCACTTGTGGACAATTGGGACTTGGCAATCCCTACTTGCTGCAGTCCCAACTGACGGTCAACTCACTCATCCTCTCTCACCTCCTTTTTTCTTTTCTTTTCTTTTTATTTGTGCATACCCAGTGTCAACTAACCGTTAAGGCCTTTTTCTCAATTTTCTTTTCTTTTCTTTTTCTTTTTTTCCACTTGTGGACAGTTGGGACTTGGCAGTTCCTACTTGCTGCAGTCCCTACTAAAGACCAACTCACTTACTCTCTCTCACCTCCCTTGTCTCATTCTCCCTTATTTTCTTTTTCTTTTTCTTTTTCTTTTTCTTTTTGCTTATCAAGTGTCAACTAGCCGTTAAGGCCCTTTTCCTACCTCTTCCTCTTAGTTTTGGCCCTTCCTATGCCCAAGGGCCAGTCCGTTATTTTTCGGGCTGCAGTTGTGGCCCTTCCTTGCCCTTGGGAGCCACCGTTAGCCCCTCTCTCTTCCAAACGGTACGCTCTTTTGCACCGATTTTCTCCGGGAGGTCTATTTTTCTCATGGAGCCCCTAGGGCTCCATTTTCCTTGAGGGAGGCCAATCCGAGATTTTTCGGATTGCTCCCATGCCTCTAGCACTTGTTTTCTTTACTTTTTATTTTTCGTTTGACCCTCCCACTCGCTCCCACTAGTACTTGCACTAGTGGTGCTAATATTTTTGGCCGTCAAGATCTCCGATTTTGACGGTGCAACTTGCTTTATTTTTTTTTTGCACCATACGTTGTTCCGCAATTTTCCTTTGGGACGCCACAGGTCCCCGCCACTTGTCCCGCGCTGGGTCCCGACACTAGTTCTCGACATTAGTCCCGCCGGTACCCGACCCGCTGGTACTTGTCCCGCCGGGTGTCCCGCTGGTACCACATTTTTTTGCTTAGTCTCTCATGGTCCCCGGCACTAGTCCCATCGGTGCCACGTGGTCCCCGACACTCAACTCATAAATGCCGCCCCTTTGCTTGCTCCTAGGCGATCCCCGACACCTGACCCATTGGTGCCGCCCCTTTGCTAGGCCCCACGTGGCCCCCGACTCTTTGTCCCGCCGGTACCGCATCTTCTCTTGGTCTCTCGTGGTCCCCAGCACATTGTTCCGCCGGCACCACATCTTCTCTTGGTCTCACGTTGTCCCCGGCACATTGTCCCGCCGGCACCACATCTTCTCTTGGTCTCACGTGGTCCTCGACACTTTGTCCCGCCGGTACCACATCTTCTCTTGGTGTCCCGTGGTCCCCGACACATTGTCCTGCCGGCACCACATCTTCTCTTGGTCTCACGTGGTCCCCGGCACATTGTCCCGCCGGCACCACATCTTCTCTTGGTCTCACATGGTCCTCGACACATTGTCCCGCCGGCACCACATCTTCTCTTGGTCTCACATGGTCCCCGACACTTTGTCCCGCCGGTACCACATCTTCTCTTGGTCTCATGGCCCCCTTGCCGCTGCGCCCTGGCGGCCCACTTGGCTTGGCTACGTTTTCTCGTGCCGGCATCTTACGTCCTATTCCCTTCTGATTCTTTTCTCTCTTCGCGGCGCCCATCCTATGTTACTACTATTTCCCGGCGGCCCTTCTCCGTTTTGGGGGAAGGATCACCTTCACTATTTTCTTGCGGTCCTCTGCCGCTCCCTGTTCCGTCAATTCCCTCTTAGTTCAAGGTTCCCAGCAACTTCGAGCAGCCTCTAGCTCCCTAGCGCCTGCACTTACACCTTCGATTCTTCCAACATTCTTGTCTCCGGTTTTCTCTGCCGTGCACAAATTGGTCATATACAATCTCTCGAGTGACGGGAGGTCATTCGGGACTCACCAGTCCCGACACCGTCTTTCCCCTCCTGGCTCGTTGCCCCCTCTTGCCCACAGCGCCTTGGTCCCTTAACGCCCAGCAGTCGGACGCTCCGCAGCGGCCTGTGTTCGACGGAGACTACAGATAAAGCCTACTACTAACACCTATCGAATAGTCTTCCGTTCCTATCCTCGGGCCCGCCGAGCGCTTTGCACGCTCTAGCCCCGTCACATCCTCTCCCTCTCGTCCTGCTCAGGCGGAGTCCGCTACCGCCTTGGGCTTCGGTCAACCAGCTCTCACACAGGCAGCCGGCCACGACCTGGCCTGCTGTAGAGCTTAGCGTGGGTCTTCCTGGACTGGGCCCAATGCGGCTCTCGGCGGTAGTAGCAAAATTTCAAAAAAAAAAAAAACTTTGAAAACCAAAATGGGGGAAGGACTCTGTGCGGCTCCGTCTTGCCGTTCACGGCCTGCCCCGATGCATGGCCCGCCACCCTTTCGCGCCCCAACCGGCAGGCACACACTCAAGCCATTTTCAACAGATCATGAGTGACAGGTCGGGCATCCGCAGCGAGTATGCACCACTAAAACCCCTCCGCCTCGTCGGCCAATCACCTACGCCCGCATGCACGTTGACTTCCCCGGCCCGTGTCTTAAGATGGTGGGGCCAAAGACCTCCACCAGCATCCCTAACACGCAGAAACCCGGACGGGATTGTTAAAAGAGGCACATACTCAAGGTCCCCGACTCCCGTAACGACCGCTAAATCCGGCGTCGCGTCCAAGTTAACTGGACGCCGGAGCAAGGATTTATAATTATAAGATAATAAGTACTGAACATACTTAGAGACTTCTAACTGTGAAAACATGTTGGATCAGGAAGAGGAAAATGCTAGCGCCGCTCTGACGTCGCCGACGGCAAAACCAAGGGGAATAGCTCAATCGGGCCCTCAATTTCCTCGGCCCCCTTCGCGCCCCTTTGATATCCCCGCGCCGTCACCGCTCAATTCCGATCCCTGGATCTCCCTGATGAAAATCTGGTGCTGTAACCAGTAATGCTAGGCCCAAGTCTGGGTTTAAGCTTTGATGGACACCTAAATAAATCAATATTGTGCGACGCGCAGACCTACTGAAACACTTTCAGAACCACATTGTTGTCGACTTCGACCTCCGTACGTAAGCACGGGTCGCAGGCAAGCGCACCAATCAAAAGACAAAATATTTTAAATGGCCGGTGATTATGCCGACTCTTCAGTCATCAACCGATAAAAAGATCACACGCGCCTCAAAGCCTGCGTGCCCACACACCCTCTACACTAGTCAACCATCTAGTCAACATAAATCCCAGACGCAGTCGCGCCTTACGCGAAATATTTAGACTTTAAATCAACTTATTTCTTGTCGTTTGCAGGAACCAGGGCGGATACTGTTGTAAGGGTATTTGCCCCGACAGCGCATATGAGCGCGACTACCTCTTCGACAAGACTTTTGTAGTTGTGTGTGTGTGTGCGTACGTGTGTATCTGTTTGCGCGTGTGTGTGTAAGAGAGAGAGTGATCGTTGAGTAATGGTTGCACTCTCGAGTCTCGAGTCATGTATAGTAGTCGACACGTATGAGAGCAACCTCCTCCCACATAACCCTTTTGTATGTGTGTGTGTGTGTGTGTGTATGTGTGTGTGTGTGTGTGTGTGTGTGTGTGTGTGTGTGTGTGTGTGTGTGTGTGTGTGTGTCTGAGAGAGAGAGAGAGAGAGAGAAAGAAAGAGAGAGAGAGAGAGAGAGAGAGAGAGAGAGAGAGAGAGAGAATTGTCGACGAAGTGGTCGCACTATCAGGTCATGTATGGTAGTTTATAAATATGAGTGCGACCACCTTTTTAACAAACCTTTTGTTGATGTATTTGTTTGTATGTGTGCATGTGCGTGTGTGTGTGCATATATGTCGGTGTGCATATGTATATGTGTGTGTGTGTGCCTGTGTGCGTGTGTGTATGTGTGTGTGTGTTTGTATGTGTGTGTGTGAGAGAGAGAGAAAGAAAGAGAGCATGTCTTCGACGAGTCTTCTGTGGATGTGTGTGTGTGTGTGTGTGTGTGTGTGTGTGTGTGTGTGCGGGGGGGGGGTTGTGTATAAGCACAGCTATCCCAAAGCATGGCACCGTAGACAAAGCCGGTTGGTCCTTTTAGTCCGGCACAGGGTTCACCCAACAATATGTAAGTTTTAGGAGCAATTAAGATTATAGTTAGTAGGTTAGCGGGGGTTAGGAGAGGGTCTGAGGACCCAACCATAGGGGGGGTGCACGCCCTTAAGCGCGCTATTCGCCGCCTAGCACCCATAGCAACTCATCAGAGAGGTTAGCTTAGTAGAGGCTCCTGTTAGGAAGGGGTGGGGGAAAAAAAGGGAAGGGGGGGTGGCATGCCATAGTAAGCAATTAGGGGAGATGGAGTTAGCGAGACTAAACTGAGTTGTCATGATCGGTGTCACAGGAAGGTCAGATGTCGCCATAGCTGGAGTTGTAGCCGTGTAGCGTACCGTCAGCTGGTTACAGTGTAAGTGTTGCGCACAACACACTGTATTGCGTACGCCCGAGCCCAGGTACCCGATGCAGCTCGCGAGCAGACGTGCTCATGCGAGAGAAGCTGAGGGGACTCGTGTAACGGCGAGCTGGGGGCCAGAAAACGCAGATTTGGTACTTCAGCGATGCAACAAGAAGATGTGTGCATTTGCGTTTGCAGGCGTATTCGAGGGCGCATAATGCAACATAAGGTATTATATCGTATGAATGCGATGATTGTGAAGTGTAGCAAGTCTGAGTGCAAGCTGGGATTCACGGGGGTAGGATGGCGGTGTGTGTAGTAGCTGTGTTTTTTTGGGGGGAAGGTGACGACGCCATGCGTGTATGAGGGAGAGTGAAGGTTAATGGTAGGGGTGTTTCCGTGTAGGGGACTGGCATAACTTGTTTTGTTTTTTTGTTGAGGGGTTGTGTCTGATAGCATGCTTAGTGCAGGGGGTCGTTGTAACCTTGTATCAGTACTGTCCTGGGGTCTAGATTGGAAGGGCGGGGGTGTTTCGTAGTGGACGCATGGGTGTATCGTAGGAGGAGGGTCTGGTCTGGGTGCAAGTCATCGTCTGCTAGAGGTGAGCTTTCGGCGTGTCGTGCTCTGGATCTGTCTCGTAGCTAATGCGCCAGGGTTGTTTCAAGTCATAGGATTCTTTGGTTTTGTCTTTTTCCGGTTAGCTCATGTAGCCGTGTGTGTAATGTTTGTTGTAAGCGGGAAGGGTTGGCTATGGAGGAAGTAGGTAGCGTTGTTTCCTGTTTGTCCTTTATGCGTGGGCGATGTCCTTTATTGTGGCATTCGCGTCGTTTCGGACTGGTGCCATGCGTGTATGAGGGAGAGTGAAGGTTAATGGTAGGGGTGTTTCTATGTAGGGGACTGACATAACTTGTTTTGTTTTTTTGTTGAGGGGTTGCGTCTGATAGCATGCCTAGTGCAGGGGGTCGTTGTGGCCTTGTATCAGTACTGTCCTGGGGTTTAGATTAGAAGGGCGGGGGTGTTTGGTAGTGGACGCATGGGTGTATCGTAGGAGGAGGGTCTGCTCTGGGTGTAAGTCATCGTCTGCTAGAGGTGAGCTTTCAGCGTGTCGTGCTCTGGATCTGTCTCGTAGCTTATGCCCCAGGCTGTTTCACGTCACAGGGTTCTTTGGTTTTTGTCTTTTTTCGGTTAGCTCGTGTAGCCGTGTGTGTAATGTTTGTTCTAAGCGGGCAGGGTTGGCTATGAAGGAAGTAGGTAGCGTTGTTTCCTGTTTGTCCTTCATGCGTGGACGTTGTCCTTTATTGTGGCATTCGCGTCGTTATTGTGGCATTCGCGTCGTTTCAGACTGGTGTTTTCACCAGGTGTTGTTTCAACCGTACTGAGTTTCTTTGAAAAACTTGTGGGTTTTGGGGTCTCCAATGTGAGTTCATTTTTTTGCTTTTGTTTTATGTGTGTGCCCTCTGTATGCGGTCAGGTACTCCCATAACTAGTCAGCATATTCTAGTGTGTGTAGTATATCGGTATGTAATTTTGGTAGTTTGTATCGTATTGGTTTGTCGGTGGATGTTTCGTCTTAAAGGTGTAAGTTTGCATTGTAGTCAGAATCGGTTATCGAAAGGGCGAATGGTATATTACAATTTCCCAGGGTGTGTTTATGGAGTTCCAGTACGTCCGTGTATTTATATTTTTAACTGTATTTATTTATTTTAATTTTTTATTTTTACTTTTATTTTTTTTTTTAAATAATTTATTATTCCTTTTGGTTTTTAATATTATTAGTAAAAAGGTTTAAATTTTTTATATTATTATTTTTACTTTTTTTTTAATTATTATTTTTTATAATTTATATTATTTTCTTTTTTTAAATTTTAATTATTTTTTATAATTATATATATATATATATATTTAAATATATTTTTTCAATATTTATTATTTATTATTTTTTATTTATTTTCTTATTTTTTTATTTTATATATCATGGTTTATTAATTATTATTTCTTTTGCTAAAAAGGAGATGTGTGTATGTGTGTGTGTGCGTGTGTATGTGTGTGTGTGTGTGTGTGTGTGTGTGTCTCCCCGTACCCTCGTGATGAAGGTCCTGGTGGGGTAGGTCCAAAGATGTTGGACCTACCCCAGCAGGGGCATGTCCTTCATCCGAACCAAGCCAATTTTGATGGCTTACACACACTTACTGTTGTTGTTTCTTATCTTGGTTATGGTGTATTATGGTGTATCCTTAGTATTTACTATGCGTGCGGGTTGGGGTTTTGATTTTTTAAGTGTTGCAATACCATCTGGGGGTTGCATCGAAAGGGTTGGTAGTCCATAGGGTTGTTCAGGACTTTGCTTGCGACTCCGAGGAGTCTATGCTTTCTGAAACCGTTGTTCTCTAGTGTTTGTAGTGTTAGTATGATTTCTTTTGCAGCATGTTGTGGTTCCGTTTTGATGGTCATGATGGTGATGATTTGAGGTATTAATAGGTTTAGTGATTGTTGGAGTGGTCTGTTGGAATTGACTTGGATAAAGCGTGTGATGGGAAAGTTCAGTTCTCTTCTCTTGTCATATTTGTTTGTGTTATATTGCCCAGTTTCCAGATTTGTGATAGTAATAGTGGTATTTATGAAGTTTGCTTACGTTTCGATGCTTTTGTTATCTATTTGTGTTTTTTGTGTGGTTGTTTCGTTTAGCGTTATTAGGTGTAGTGGGTACAAAAATATCGGTTGTGAGGGCTGGTTATGTCTGAGTTGATAAACTCGTTGATCCTGGGGTTGTTTATAATGTGGAAGTCATCAAAGTAGCGGAAGACGTGTTGAAACAGATGCAGCAGGTTCCTGCTGCTTTTGTGTGTTATTTTTTTCATGAATTTGAATTAATATTTAAAGAAGTATATGTTACACGATACTAGTGAACAGCTTACCCCCATAGGGATGTCGAGCACCTGCCTCCAGATGTTGCCCCCTAGGGATGTATATGCATTTTTTATTAACCAATTGTTAATTTCTTGCACAATGTTGTCGTTTAAGATAAGATATCCGTTTGGTGGGTTTGAATACCAGTCGCAAAGAGGAAGCCATGTTCCTTTGCTTTGATACATTCTGCAGGCTGGTTGTACATTTCTTCCGTGTGTTTTTCTTGCCTGTCTGAAGGCAATTCTAGAGAAGAATTGGATGGCGGCGAGTAGGACGTCTTGACTATCATCAATAGGGATTGTTTTGTAGCAGCGTGTTATGTCAGCAGAAAAGACGGAGAAGACTTTTTTGTGGGAGGTTGTATATGTAGTCCGGTGTTGAATCTATCGGCCACCAGAAAGGGACTTTGAGTCCTATTTCTGTAAGTATTTTCTGTGTTAGTATGCCGCGGTGGGTTTTCACACTTCGGATCAAGGCTGCAAGCAGTGCAGCAGTTAGATGAGCAAGTGGTGTGGAGATGACGTCCGCTGCGTTAGTTAACCAGCGAAAGGAATTCTTGTGTTTTTTATATGTGGCAAATAAGTAGGGTATTTCCATTTTACCAATAGGGATGTCTGGTAACTTTACTGTTAGTTGTTGTTTCATGATTTCTAGCAGTTCAGCAGTAGACAAGGCATGTTGTTCGAAATCAGGGCTGCTAAGTCTTTGGAGTGCGAGGTATCTCACAAGGTTTATGCAGGTGATTACCGGGGTGTTGGGTGCTTTGTCAGCACAGGATATGTAGAAGTACTTAGTTAAGAAGTTGATTTTGTATTTGATGGCGTGATCGTTAAGGCTTATTACTCTATGCGTGGTTATGTTTTCGAGATTTCGATTGATTATTTTGTTAAAGTCTATTTTTGCCTATTTTTCTTGTATGTCGTGTAGTGGTGTACCGTTTTTAAGGAGGGCTAGAGTGAATTGCGTCCATACTTCTTCAGCGGCACCTAGTACCTCTTCTGTATTTAGTGGAGCGGGTGGAATATGGTTCAGTCCATTTCTCATCATGCTTCGAAGGTTAGCGTTGTTCGAGATATTAAGGTCTAATGTAGTGACGTGTGGTTGTTCTCCTTCGGGTAGCATGTCTACTGGGAGTTCGTTGGAAAATTGTCTATATCTGGGTTGTTGGCAGAAGCATCTCTCCGGGATTTGTTCTATACAGGTTCATAGTTTGAAATCCCGAAAAACCGCAGCAGGTTTGTATAAAGTTTTGGCTATATGGTCGTTGTATGTCTATGAGAAGGTGAATTTTTCCAAGACGTGTACGGCTTCTTGGTTATGATTTTGCAATATGTTTTTAAAGATATTTTTGAATTTTATTCGGTCCATTATCCGGTTCGTATAGTGGCAGGAGATGATCTGTTTGTCTGATTCCTTTCTTAATCTCCAGCCAAGCCTTCCGTCCTCCATTGTCTGAAGTCGTTTTACCTGCACATTTGACAGACAATTGGGCGACTGAGTTTGGATTTATTATCAGTAACCTGGGGTGTGGGGAGTGCTTTTGAATTCTCTGTAGTCATGCTTCAGGGGAGGTGGAGGGAGGTGGTAGAAAGGGTTGTATTTTCTTAATTATTATTTAAAAAAAACTTATAGTCTATTGTCCTAGGTGTGTTAGGTCGTGGCTCAGTGGCGTGGGGCAGGATTTGCATGTGATGTATATGTTCTAGCATATGTGTGGTAGTGGTAATCCTTATTGGTTTTCACGTGTGTAAAATTTGCTAGTTTTTTGGTGAAGCATGTGGCCTTTCGCAGAGTTGTAGATTTATTCTGGTGTCTCGGTGTGTGTATATTAGTTATCGTCGAAGGGGTGTTGGGAGGTAAAAGAAGGTGTTTTTCTTCAAAGGTTATGTACCATTGGCGCTTGCCTAGATTGTTATTCAAAATGTTCTTCATACATATGCATATACCCATATACAGGCCCTCACTCAGACAGTCGCACAGACACACTCAGACATACGCGTATGTATATGCGCCAACAGAGACAGCCCTACAACATGCATTCATATACACAAGCACTCACACAGGCCCACTGTCATCTACTCAGATCGATAAACCCGTAGAGACACACACACGCACAGCCATCCGTAAGCACACAGGCTCACTTACACACGTACACAAGGACACACTGATACACATTAGGTGCCGCAGAGCCGGTCAGACAGACATACATGCGCACATTCACACCCAGATGTACCCTCAGTTATACATACGCACAGCCAGAGCACCACACTCATGTGGACCTGCACCCTCTTGAATTTATGGCATTCATAGATAGCCAGATCAAACACATGTGCATAGTCAGAGAACGTGGTCATGTAGAGAAGTAGAACAAACATATGCGTAGACGTACTGAGATATACACTTAGATACGCAGCCCAATACGTTTTCGCACGTATAGACTCTCAGACAGACACAGTGACAGACTCACAGGTGCACCTACATACCCACAGACTCACTCAGACATACTTAAACACACAGACACCGGCACTCGGGCACCGACTCACTTATGTCGTCAGCTACTCTCACACAGACGTACGGACAGACCCAAAGACACAGATACTCGCTCACCCAGATACCCATACGCACTCATAGGCAGGTAAAAATTGTTGCTCAAAGGACATATGTATTGCCAATATTGCGTCTCTTATTTATCTGAAGAACACATATGAGGCCGGGGATCCCAACAATTCCACCCGGATCTATCCTGCCATTATAAGCGGGTTCGGCTTTTCGTATTCGTAAGTCTTCTGGTAACCAAAAGAATATCGAGTCCTAAACAACAACTTATTCTAGTGTTAGTTTAGAACTTGTAGTGGTCCAATCTTCTGTCTTCAAAAGAAGTTATGTGCCGGCAGCCTCAGCCGGTTTAGCTTACCAACTGTCGTAAATAATTACGTCTTATAGGCAAAAGAAGGGGGGGTGGGCCTGTTAAGCAAGTCCGTTTCGCTGTAGCAGCCAAGTGTCTACATACTTTTACTATAGAGTATCATCTATACAGGATCTAATTAGCGACCCTATATAGCTGATTTATACGAGCTTAGCTTCTAGTAATGTTGGTTATATTGTAGTGATAATCCGGGCTAAGCCTTCTGCAAACGCGTTTCCAAGACTCCTCAGAAGATTGCGACTCGGTTCCAAAAGCTGCGTTTTCGCTGTTTGTTCGGAGCAGGGAGGAGTCTGCGCTGCTGGCGCCGTAGTTCATCCTCAGTGCATCGATGGCGGAGTCGCATCGGGGTGTCGGGCGATGGTGAGTTGATCGTGATGGGGAGTTGTCTCCTCTCTCCATCATTGATGTCGCTGCTGCTGACTTGGATTACCTCTCGATCTTCAGGGGCTTCTTGTCTGGCGGTGGGGAGTTCTGTGATTGTTCCGTTGTGAACCCACTGCCCTAGGATATGTTTCGCATGTGGTGCACATTCGTGGTTGGCATCTGGTTGCACTGGAAGGTTGGTTTGTGCTTGAACGTGGGTTGTGCAAGACTGTTCTAGTGACTGAGCTTGCTGCTGTGTTATTGCTATCATCTGTCATTGTTGTTGGGCCACGAGCATGTCATGAATGTCTGGTTGCCGCTGATCATACTGTGCAGCTTTCTTCCTTGTCTGCCTTCTGGTCTGCACCCCCTCTAGAGTTGTCGTGAGTCTTTGAGTTTTTCTGCCTCTTCTAGTCTTTGCTCATTGTGGCTCTGGCAGTGGATTCATGGCAATGCTCAGAAGTTGCTCTCACCTTCATGCCAGTCTTTCTGCTTCAGTACAAGCCAGGCCTGCTGTTGCTGTGTGGAAAGTTGTGTTGTGGTTCAGGACATTGGGGCTAATGTGTGCAGTGTGCAGTGCAGGGAGGTTGCTTCTGAAGGCGACGTTAGCGATGGTGAGTGGGCTGCAGTGGCGTGTTGCTAGCTGTGCAGCAACGATGGCGAAGGCATTGCCTGTGAGTTGAGCAGTTCCAAAACAGTGGAATATTGCTCCATGGGTGGTGTTCATGTGAAGATTCTGGGGTTGTGTACTTGGTGCGGGTGCTGCGTTGCCGTCCTAGTTGGGTGTAGTGCTTGTGTGAATGGTTTGTGTTGTGTGGGCATTGGCATTTGTTGGAGTGTTGAGGTTTGCGGTTGGTGTGGTTGTTGCTGTGAGGGGTTGCGTTGTCTTGTTAGGGGCGTGCTGCTGTCCAGTGGGTGTTGCGGTGGTGTGTCCAGCTGCAGTGGTAGTTGTGGGTGTGTACGCAACTCGAGAAGGTGTGATGTTAACTGGCTTTGTAGTGGTGGGTATGGCGTTGCTATGTTCTGCGTGTGTGGCGCCGTTATGTGTTCGCTGTAATGGTGTGTTCATGGGTGTTCGGGTTGGGGTGGTGAATGTGGCGGTAGAAGCTGGTGTGCTGCCAAGCCTCATCTGTCAGCATCTTCTCAGTGACTTATCTTCGACGTCAGGTTGGTTCCATCTATTTGCTGATTGCGTCAGGAGACCTTCAGCATTTGGAAGGAGCGCGGCAGTGAACTTATGTAGAAGGGTACATTTATGAAGTCTTCGAAGTTGAGGATCTCCTCTGCTGAGATGGTTTTGTTCTGGGTGATGAGGTGGACGATCTTGATCATACATTCTCGCATGAAGATGAAGGAGATCTGCGCCATGATCGGCTTCCTCCATTTTGTCCGAAGTAGTGCTTGGAATTCCAGCATCCTGATCTTGTGTGAAGGTGCGCGCGGATCGACTTTGTCCAGGTTGCCTATGACATACCGTATCATATGGTCGAACCACGTGAAGTTCTTTTCGCATCCGGGGCAAATGCACTTCAGATAGGGCCTTCCGGCGTTCCATAGCTTCTTGAGCTCGGACAGGTCCGTTGGGAACTTCGGGATGCCTTTCTGATGAAGCAGAGGTTTCCTTGGACATTTTCCTTTCTCAAGGTTTGCGATGGGAGGGAAGTCTGCATCCAGTCCACCTCTTGTAGCAGCGAAGTAGATGGTGGCATTCCTTGCTGTTGTTCGGCAGTTGTCTATGTCTGCTTCGGTGAGCCCAGCGAGTGCCATGTATGCCTCCACGCTGATGGGTGCAGCATAGTTGAAGGTATCGAGTTTCCATAAGCGGTTGTGTACGCGTTGCATCGCTTTCTCTGTCCACGTGCTGGATGCCAGTGGCAGGAAGGGGTTGTTCTTGGCGAACTTGTGTCCAGCGTCTCTGGTAAGCGGAGTGATCTCGATGTGCGCGTTGCTTCTTCGTTCTGCTTCTTTCTTCTTGAGGTAGTCTAGTTCGACATGTGAGAGGGACATGCGGTTGATGTATGTGTCGCTGAAAGTTTCGCTTCCCTCAGCAATGGAAACCTGTCTAGCGGAGTCTAGGTGCGAAGCATCATAGCCGTGCAACTCGAGGATGATCTTCTCGGCCTTGGCGGTGATGAGGTTCAACGCTCTATTCTCGATTGCTGATTTCCTGCAGACCTCAGCGATATTGCTTGCAAACTCTCGGATTTTGTTGTCTAGTTCTTCCGGCTTGTTCTGCATGACGGCGACGAGGGAGGCCCAGTCATTGAATGAAAGGTGCTCAATCAGGAATGGAGTCTGTCCCAGCGTGGCCTCATAAACTTGCAGAAGGACGTCCGCGGGAATGGCGAGCATGGCTATCTGGCCGTGTACATTTGGGGGCTGCAATGCTGAGAAGGGCCTTATCGAGGCGGCGAGTTCCGGGTGCCAGCCCATGAGGATGCTGTCTTCATCCTGCACATGTTTCGTTACGAGGTGGTTATTAGATAGGTAGAGACATAGTCTGTGGGAGCACCGGATCGGTATGGCAACTATATCTATCCAATACTCTCGGTAAGGAGATTTTGAAATTACATTTCGTATTTGTTTTTGGTTTTATGTAGGGTGTGATATCTTTTTGGTGATGTCTCAGAACAAGGTGGTGATGGTAAAGGGTGTGGGGTTAGCTCTTTAGTGTGAAAGTCAATTGTGTTTGCTTGCTCTATGAATTTCCTGAATTGGTATTTGTGTAGATTGTTAATGGGTACAGTTGGGGTAAGAGGGGGTTGTTTTTATTCTGTCTTTTAATCCAACAGAAATCAAAAGTTTATCCGTATGTTTTCTGTTATCGAGGTGGTCTATGTGGTTTTATGTTCTGTGTTACTAGTCTGAGGATTGCTTTTGCTGCTATTATGTGGTGTGGTTATGCTTCAGGTAGGTTCAGTGCCGCGGCAATTAGGTTCTGTGTCCGTGTTTTAATGGTATGTTGAGGTCGATTTAACTTTGTTTTAATTTTTGTTTTGATTTTCTTTTAATTTTCATTTTAAGTCTAATTTCTTGATTT